ATGTACTAGGGGAAGTGGGGAGGGATGTGGGGGAGGCATGGGAGTTTGGGATTAGAAGGGGAAACCGGAGGCTCAGGCCTTGAGCAGTGGTATTCCCCTCCTGCTGCTCACCGTGGTCAACAGTGAGGCCTGTGCCTTGCTCTTCTCAACACTGGGAGATGTGGCAGCTGAGCCAATCACCACCTACTATGGCCTGGTCAGATGGAAGGAGGGTAGGACCCATCAATACTGCCCACATTCTCCCAGGCAAAGAACTGGTCTCATCCCAGGCTGTTGGGGTCCTTGCCCCAGCAGGATCCAGGGGTACCCTCAGAATGAATGGTGTGAGCAAGTGAGAGAGAGAGAGAGAGAAAGAGACCAGACCAGGATGTGCAGCAGAGTCTGGCAGTTGCTTTATTTTTCACCGTAGCCTTTATACCCTAAGTTGGTACATTTCTAAGGGGGAGATAAGCACACAGACTTAGTTTAACATTACATCAGCTTGTCCTTTACGAAACCAGGTGTTCTCTGTATATTTTTTGTTTATGAGAGTCTTTTCCCATAGATTTTTTTATACATTATCTCTAGCCTTGAGCTTAGCAGAAAACAGAAAAGTGGCAGTCTCTTGGTACAGCAGGTTGTAACATAGTAGAAATACAATCCTGTTAACACAACAGTCAGTCTTTTTGCAGAAGTTCTCAGCTAAATTTATCTAAGAAGTTTAGCACACAAAGACACACGGCTCCGGTGAGGCAGCCCCTGTTTAGCACTCCTGGTTAAAATTAACAATTATATTTCTAAACTCTTACTTTTCTAGATCTCCAACTATATTAACAATAGTTTTCACTGTACAACCTCAGCACATTAACATCAATCAAACGTTGATCCAATATCCACTTTTAAAACAACACTTTTTGTGTTCTCTAATAGGGCTTCCTCACCCCCTAAAGGGCTCTGTGCCTATTAGGGCCTTTTTTAAGGTTAATCTCTATGTATAATATCTTTTGGCTTTCAGGCCTGTTGACAATTTATGGCTTGCACCTGGTGTAACTTTAAGCAACTTCAGTAGCCGACCCTGTCTTTTCTGTGGTTAATCTATTTTCCTTCTATTAGGTGTCATCTCCATGGGAACTAGATAGGATTACATTTTTACAGAACAGAAATGCGAAGGACTGCAAAAACAGCAGATAAAGCACAGAACAGGCTCTTAGTCTAAAAGTTAACTACCTGCAAGAAGTCACCAGCTAATCTCTTGCAATGGGAGCACACATTTATCAAACAAGCCAGAATGCCAGCAAAAAGGGTTTGAATTGAAGCATTTCTTTCATCCCTGGCCCCTTCATAGGGTACCAGCGTCTAGGAGATTTATTAATTAGGGTTTTAAGTTGGTCTTTATTCAATGAAAGAGGAGCAGGAGAGCTCTCAGCAGGCAACACAAGAACCTGCAGCAGGGCAAACAAGAACAACAGCAGAAAAAGGGGGGAGGATACAGCGTGGGGTAGAGGCCGAGGCCAACCTGGAGGGTCCCTTGTATCCTGAACGACCTTGCGTGTCAGGTTTTTTCCTCATGACCTCGTCATGGATGGGATCCTGAATGGCCTTGCGTGTCAGGTCTTTACCTCATGACCTCGTCATGGGTGGGATCTCCCACAACGGCTCCTGGCACCAGGCTATGCTGGTCAAAGGGCCCAAGGAAGCTGTCGCTCAGTTTGGAGCAAACTGATTATTTGAAGAATTGTTTTGCTAATTGATAAATGAATTTTTTTCTTTCAAGAAATTGATTTTATAATTGTTCTAAAATTGCCCCCCTTATCAGGTGGTGCTAGTCGTAAAGAACCTGCCTGCATTGGCAGGCAGGAGACATGAGACTCGAGTTTGACCCCTGGGTTAGGAAGATCCCCTGGAGGAGGGCATGGCAACCCACTCCAGTATTCTTGCCTGGAGAATCCCATAGACAGAGGAGTCTGGCAGGCTACAGTCCACAGGGTCGCAAAGAGTCGAGCACAACTGAAGCGACAACAGACATAACACACACATCATCAAGTAATGAAAATAGAGAAAAAATATTATAAACTTTTGCAATCTCTCATAACAGCATTACCACCCTTTGGATCCCACTGGATTCTCTCAACCCATCATTCTCCATTTTATGTTACAGAACTCTTTGTTAAATAGATTCTCCTTGCACTTCCTTGTAACTTCCCACTAAGGAGAATTTAGAAAGATTCAAGAAACTAGAGAAAGACAGCACTGGATTGGATGCAAGTTTTAGAACTGCAGGGCAGCCTGAGAGAACCCCATAACTTCACTGACCAAAGCAAGTGATACTGAGAAAGAGCTGTAAGGTGGGAGCTGGGACTTAAGGCAGTAAACCACTGTAAAGGGAGAAAGAACACCTGGAAGAGAGAGTCTAAGAAATACAGAAATGCAGGTCAGAACTCAACCATCTTAACAAGAGCTGCTCTGTTGACCCAAGGACCCATAAGGAAACATCAAGAGATGAGGCTGTGACTGTAACTTAGCAGTTTGTGGATAATATTCCTCAAGAATGGTGCTCAGATCTTGGCAACGTGGCAGTCATCCTGCTCATTCGTTTCAGAGCATCATTATTTACTATCTCAGGTATTCCACGCTGAGGTGTTACCTCTGATCCCATTTTTACATAGGCTTAAAACAAACCATATTAACCTTTTAACTTTTTTCTCAACCTCTCTAAGCAGATTTACACCAACAAGAAAAGGTCCAGAAATGTATACAACAGTCTCTTAACAATATTTACATAGGGACAGGGGCCAAGATGTCAGGAGAACATGAAGACAGAGTTTTAAAATATAATTCTACATACTTCTTTTATTATTTGAATGTATGTTCATAATTTTTGAAAAACAGAAAGTCTGTTTAGGCAAAAAAATCCCAAAACCAACTTGTGAATTCCACCATCCAGAGATGTTCATTTTGGAATGATTAGTTTTAAAAAATAGTTTTACTTATTTATTTTGCTGCACCAAGTCTTGGTTGTGGCACGCAGGATCTTTGATCTTCACTGTGGCATGCGGGATGTAGTTCCCCAACCAGGGACTGAGCCTTGGTCCCCTGCACTGGGAGTGTGGAGTCTAGCCACTGGACCACCGGAAAGTCCCTAGTGTGGTTAGCTTTTCAGGAGATTTAAACTTTTTTTTTTTTTTTTTGGCAGTTAAAATATTTATTTCAAAATAAATGTTTAAACTTATTTTTTATAAAATGAAAAAGGAATTCAGATTTTCTTCTTTAATTTAGAGGAAAAATCAACCATCAAAAAAAGGCATAGAGGGTATACTTTTGGTAGGAAAATAAAAATAATGGAACATTTTAGTGAGTTACATAAAATGTTTCAGTTAGTCGTAGAGTAGTAACCTAGGTAATAAAGACATAATAAGCTACAATTCCTCTTAGTCCTCAACACACATCTGCTACCCTTTGTTACAGCAAAAAGCAAGACTATGGTGTCAGAAATTCACCGGATGAAATTGTCCTCACACACTGCTACTTGTTTATACTTAGGAAATAACAGAAGTAGAAAAAGTAGAAATAATAGAAAGAGAGAAAAATGAGACTCAAGTCATAAATGTAAAACATACCCAGTATGAAATCTGGACACTACGATCAGTAGAGATGTTCAAATTCCAAATGCTTTCCTCACTCTTTTACTTTTCTGTAAAATGCTCTAATCTCCAGTGGCTTCTGCTGTTGAATGTGAGATCCTTGAGGGCAGCTGGTCCTATCTATTCTCCTCAACACTGTACATGCAGTACCCTGCACAGTGCCTGACACGAAGGAGAAACTCAATAAATACCATGCATGAAAACAAATACAAGAAAAGCCAGTGATCTGCGGACTGGGATGGGAGGTAGGAGTGGAGAATAGAAAACAGAAAACAGAACAAATAAAAGTGAAATAACACTTGTAAGAAGTCATTCACACTGTCATATCAGAAGAAATTTAAGTAGAATGATATGGACATTTTTATTTAATACTTGTTAAGGGTTCCAATTTTCTCATTTGAAAAGACCCTGATGCTGGAAATGATTGAAGGAGGGAGAAGGGGATGACAGAGGATGAGATGGTTGGATGGCATCACCAACTCAATGGACATGAGTTTAAGCTCTAGGAGTTGGTGATGGACAGGGAGGCCTGTCATGCTGCAGTCCATGGGGTAGCAAAGAGTCGGACATAACCGAGCAACTGAACTGAACTGAAGGTTTCCCTGGTGGCTCAGACAGTAAAGAATCTGCCTGCAATGCAGGAGACCTAGGTTCAATCCGTGGGTCAGGAAGATCTCTGAGAGGAGGGCATGGCAACCCACTCCAGTATTTTTGCCTGGAAAACCCCATGGACAGAAGAGTCTGGTGGGCTATAGTCCATTGAGTCACGAAGAGTTGGACAAAACTGCGCAACTAACACTTTTACTTTTCAAGGCTTCACTTAGCCTTAAATTCCAAAACAATTTCTAACAGTTTAATAGTAGCACTGAAGAATACTTTTCAGAAGCTCTTTAACTTGCTATTATTTTGTAAAGACAAACAAAAAAACTTTGGAAAAATTTATATAATGAACTCATTTAGGCAAAAAGATACATGCATTAAAAATATCCTGTAGGAACATGTGGTTTTTTCTAAGAACTGGAAAGCCTGATGCAAAAAGATTGGAACTTTTCTTTTTTACTATATATGCTTTTGCACTGTTTAAATTTTACTTTTTTATAATATGTACATTTTACAATAAAATACAAGAAAATGTCTAATTTTAAGTATTTTTGAAAGTCAAGAAAAATTTAGAAATTACAATCTCCTAAGAATATATTGATGATTGATAATATTGCTTAATACTGTACTTCCTATTTATTCTCCTTACTAAAATATGGAAGTAGACAGTGAAACAGACAGAAAATGAGATACACATTAGTGTGTTCCAAAGGAGGAAAATAAGTAAGTAAGAAAGTAAGAAAGAAAAAATTCCAAAAGCTAAAACTGCAAAGATCTATCTGCTGATTATCAGTGATCTTTATTATCAGTGAATATGTTCAAATTCAGGAGTTTGAGGTTTTTCAAAAAAAAAGAGAACTATTACAAATTTAGGAGAACCAGGTAATGACAAACTCAAAAGCAAACAAATAAAACCTAGTTGCTCATAAGGAATCCTTTTTTATAACCTTAAAAATTACCTCACTAGAGACATACATATAGAATACTATAGGATGTTATTACAGGTGGATGACCATAATATTATAAACTGTCATTTTTAACTCTCAGTTATTTTTTTATCTGTTGATAAACTTAACTACAAAACATCTTTAAAAATATGGTTCTTGAATGATGGTATATACAGCAGGTTAGTAACAACCAACATTCTAAAAAATGTCTGTCAAAGAGCTTTCAAATGAACACAATTTCAGTATCCCTTTTAATACATTTAAGTTATATCCATTCTAGGACTCGAAACAGCATTCTTTGATGGTGGCTCACTATAAGATATTGTATTGGAAATATGTAGATTAAGCAACTGCTTCTTATGATATGCATCATTTTCCTGGTTGTTATGTTCATCCAGAGATTTCCTTATACAGTTCTTTAGTTCATCAATTCCTTCTCCAGTAATTGCAGAGATGGGGATGATTTGTTGGAATTCCACAGTCCTCTCTGGAATCATGCTTTTTTCAAATAAATGCAAAAATTCTTTAGGATTCTGGAGTTGGTTCATCAGTACATGGAATTTATCCTGTGCATCTGGCAAGTCCATTTTATTTACTGCTAGGAGTGCAGGTTTTGTCTGAAGTTCCTCTTTGTACAACTCTAACTCTTTTGAAAGCAGTATTATGGTTTCAAAAGCAGTTCTGTAATGAGTTTGGGAAGAAAGCTGAAATCCAGAAATATCAACAACAAAAAGCAGTTGTTTAGTTCTTTCTATATGCTTGAGGAATTTGTGGCCCATTCCTTTGTTCATATGTGCTCCTTCTATTAAACCAGGAAGCTCAGCTACAGATATCTGTTTGAAATCACTATACATAATTTTTCCAAGTTCAGGCTTTATTGTTGTAAATGCATAATCTGCAATTGCAGGTTTTGCATGAGAAATCTTGCTTAGCAAAGAGGATTTTCCAGCATTTCGGAATCCCACCAGGCCTATATCAGCTATAAGTTTTAGATCAAGGTAAATTACTCGCTTCTGGCCTTTCAATGGTAAGAAATTTGTAAGTAATTTACCACCAAGACCTCCTTCAGCTACCAAAATTCTGTCTTTCTCTTTATTGAGTTCTCCTATAACTTTACCATTTTCATCAGTCACTGAAACACCCACAGGTACAGGAATTTCACAGTCTTTTCCTTTGGAGCCTTTCAGTGCACTAACTCTTTCTGAACAACACGCAACTGCCGCGCACCATGCCTGCGAAGGGGTGAGATTTAAACTTTTGTTCTATCTTTTCAAAAATGGTCATTGTTATTATTTTTAAATTTTTTGTAATAATTGTTATATCTCACTTTTTTTTTCACTGTCCCCAGTGAAAACATGGCATAAAAGGAAACAATACAGAGGAGGCAAATGTTCATATCTAGTTTTTGTCAACAACTACTGTCCCAATATGTTTGGGCTGTCACTTTTACTTAGATTTCTTGTGTTTTAAACTTGAGGTAAAACTCAAAGCCTTTAATAAAATCAGCATTTTGTCTGTGATGTAGCCATCAAGATTTTGCCTCACTTTTTCCTTGAAGTCTAGGCTTTCACAAAAATAAAAAAACCTAAAGACTAAAATTGGGGTCCCAGATATCTTAAAAGAAATCAAGTTATATGTGAGTACCATAATTGGAAATGTNTAAAGGAGATCAGGCCTGGGTGTTTATTGGAAGGACTGATGTTGAAGCTGAAACTCCAATACTTTGGCCACCTAATGTGAAGAGCTGACTCATTTGAAAAGACCCTGATGCTGGGAAAGATTGAGGGCAGGAGGAGAAGGGGACGACAGGGGACGAGATGGTTGGATGGCACCACCGACTCAATGGACATGGGTTTCAGTGGACTCTGGGAGTTGGTGATGGATAGGGAGGCCTGGTGTGCTGTGGTTCATGGGGTCGCAAAGAGTCGCACACAACTGAGTGACTGAACTGAACTGACCTGAAGGAGATGTTAATATTTCTATAGCACACAGGCCCAGCTGAAGACCTCAGTGATGTGCAATCTTCCCCTCCCCCACGGGCCACTTCCTCTTTTTACTGTTTTTCACTTAGAAAACAGAGAGGACTCTTGATGCCACACAATGCCATACTGTTACTTGAAGTGGTTTTCTAGGTATATTAAGCTGTCTGCAACTGTGCATACCATTTTCCTCATCTGAAGAGTCAGTGAATGTCTTATGACTTGTTCTTGCAGAAGCAGGCCCTGAGTCAAGGATCTGGATGTATTAATCTGTGATTTAGGGCTTCCAGGAGAAAGCAAAAAGGGCGTGGGGATGAAGGATAGGAAATGAGAAGAAGCCAAATGAGGGTGTGTAAATCCATGGCTAATTCATTTCAATGTATGACAAAAACCACTGCAATGATGTAAAGTAATTAGCCTCCAACTAATAAAAATAAATGGGAAAATACACACAAAAAACCAAAAAACAAATGAGGGTGTGATTTCAAAAATCCTACTGAGCATCCATGGGAGCTCAGAACACAGGAGTGCATGTCAGAGATTGTCCTGCCTTGTAGCAAAGAAGCTGGCCTTTGGTATTCCATATCAGCCTGGCTTTGCTTGGACACAGCCTGGATGATGTCAGGAGTGTGAAGAAGGGTGAAACATAGAATGCCAAGGTACTTCCAGCTCACTCCAGTGCCTGAGGGTAATTTGCAGCCCTAGGGATAATGAGCATGTGCTAACTGATAGCAGCAAAATATGAAAAAGCTGGGGACGGACTCACAGACCATGGGTGGGGCATCAGTTTCCTACTGTGGGTTTCCTGTAAACTTCCTCTGCTGGGTGCACAGCACATCATGTAATCACAAACTTCCACTGTAAGTTGTAAGTTTCTGACCATAAAGAAGTGCCAAAGAATTGATGCTTCCAAATTGTGGTGCTGGAGAAGACTCTTGAGAGTCTCTTGGGCTGCAAGGAGATCAAACCAGTCAATCATAAAGTAAATGAACCCTGAATACTCATTGGAAAGACTGATGATGAAGCTGATGTTTCATTGCTTTGATGCGAAGAGCTGACTCACTGGAAAAGACCCTGATGCTGGGAAAGATCGAAGGAAGGAGAAGGGGACGATAGAGGATGAGGTGGTTGGGTGGCATCACCAATTCAATGGACAAGAACTTGAGCAAACTCCGGGAGATGGTGAGGGACCGGGAAGCCTGGTGTACTGCAGTCCATGCGGTCGAAAAGAGTTGGACACAAGTTGGTGACTGAACACCAAAAACAAAGCATTAAAGTGTGAGTGAATGCCACTGAACTCAGACTTGAGTTTAAATCCTAATTTCACGAATGGAAAGGGAAAAGTCATGTTCTGTTTAAGTTTTAATTCTAACTCCACAAAAGAAATTGGAAAAGTCATTATTACTGTCTTGATTCTTTGTCACCATATCCATAAATGGGAGAATCATCTTTACATCAAATGTTTACTCATTTATTTGGTCAATCATTCATTCAGTGAATATGGAGTGTCTACTCTGAGTCAGGTTCTGTTCCAGGGTTATTCTGAGAAGGGGGCAGTGGTAAGAAGAGCTCCGTAAAATGTAAAGCTCTAGGCAACTGCTTTATTTCCAGTGGTTATTTATTTTCACAGCTCACTAGAACACATAAAATTGCCTAAAACCACAGCAGGAGATACAAGGAAAAACTTCTTCATACAGAGCTGGTGGGGGGAAAAAAAAAAACAACTATAGAGTTGTTTCCAGAGTGTCTAGACCTGCCTCTGTCACAGTTCATCCTTTTTCAAATCTCTTTAACATTTCTTATCATTGGTTTCCTTATCTATAAAATGAAGAGTTCTCAGCTACTACCAGTGATTACCTGTTAAGAGTTCTAGGAGAGGAAGTTAGTGGTCAAGTTCAGGGTTGGCAGACTGAGGTGGGCACAGTCCCTAGGACTCCAGTGTAGATTAGAGGCTTCAACTCCAGTCATATCTAGCACCTCCTGTTTATAACAACTGTTTAATGGTAATCTTCTTACTAATTTGATTATGAAAGCTAAGCAACTTAGTATGTGAATGCTCTAGCCTGGCTGCACTGGCTACTGTAAAGAAGTGTCAGATGCTCGCAACTGGTCTAGGATCTCTGTCACTCATGACATTGACGACTGAGTCAATGTCGATTGCTTTATATGCATGGCTCCAGTTCAGATATGGTATTGCTTGCTGTGGTATGATTCTTTGAAATGGTGAAAAATCTCTAGCTAAAAAACCAAAAGCAAACAAACAAAAAACCCAAATATATATCTTCCTTTGAGTTGCCTAGTAGTTGCCTTCTTGGAAAATTCAGCATATATGGGTCTGACATAGTAAATGATCAGTAAATAATCAAGGAAAAAAATTAAAATAATTGCAAAACAAAACTCACCTCATCATGTGATTGTAAAGCCCAGATTACAAGCAGGGTTTTCAAAGATAGAGAGGAAGAAAGAAACAGAGTGGGTGTGTGGGCTGGGGTCCCTGGCTCAGCCCTTAAATATCTAGAGGGACCCCATCAACGGAACAAGCAAAGGCAACCCTATTAATTTTCAAAACTTCTCCCAGAGAGACTTACTGCCATTAGGAACCAGTTTTCCAGAAAGTGAGAGTTGCTAATCTAATCACTAGGGAAAAAAAAAAAAAAGCAACCAAGGCAACCAACTTGGCCCCTCCCCTTTCTCAGAAAACGAAACTTCAGAGAAAGACTCCGGACTGCGAAGTCCCCTTTCTAACCTGAAACAGCGCTTTCTGCCCAGAGACTTGTGACAAGCTACCACGGGCTTGGATTTTGATTGGGCAGTTGATAAACTAAAATAGCGGGTCAAAGGCAGAGAAAGCCTGTGATTTCTGCCAACCGGTTGGTGGGAATGGGGGCCCTGACTCCGGCCCCGTGACCTTGGCTCTGTTCTCCGCTGGGCGCTGCCGCCAGCCTGGCGCGCTCACCCTGAGCCCCCACGCCCGCCCGCCCCGCGCTCCGCTTCTCCCTTTCTGCCCCGACCTCTGGCTCCGTGGTACTCTTCCCGCCCCCTGTAGCCAGTCACCCGGGCTCGGCTTGTTCAAGCTCAGTCTGGAGCAGACCATCAAGCCCGCGGCGAGGCCAGAAACTGGCAGCCGCTGGGGCGCAGGCTTTCTCTTCTGTTCTCACAGGACCGCTACCCGGAAGGGACAGGGCGGAACGGGAGACAACATCACGTGAGGTCGTTGATAAGCTGCTGGGTGCGTGGCTGGGGGTTGAGGACGCCGGGCACTGCTTTGCAGGGCTGCCTGGTGTCACCCCAAGGGTTCTCTTTTCCTGGGCAGAGCAGAGGAGGGACAGGCTAGTCATGAGGTCAGTGGTCTGTTGAGAGACAGGCGTTTGTGGGTCCAAGATAAGGACCACCTCAGTCAGCAGGTCAGCGCTTTGAGTGGAGCCTGAAGCACTGAGCACTGCTCCCTCCTCGGCTCCACCATTTTCCTCTGGGCAACCACACTTCCTCACTAGGTTCAAGGACTTGTATCTGAATCTAAATATCTCACGCTGTTGTGTGTATCATTTTTGTGGCATCTTAGGTGTTTGTTTTGGTTAAAGCTTTACTGAGGAATAATTCACAAACTGTAAAATTCACCTATTTACAATGTACTTCAGGGGGTTACAGTATATTCATGGAATTGTGAAACTATCTTCTCAATATTAAAACATTTTCATCACCTCCAAAAAGAAACAGTACCGATTAGCCACCACTACCCATTTCTCCCCAACCACTCCCAGCCTAAGGAACCACTAATCTTTCTGTCTGGATGGATTTGCCTATTCTTGATATATCATATAAATGGAATCATACAGTATGTGGTCTTCTGTGACTGGCTACTGTCACTTGTTATATAGTATTTTCAAAGATCGTCCATTTTAGCAACGATTGGCACTATTTCTTTTTATTGCTGAATAATATCCCATTGTATATTACACTACATATTGTTTAGTCATTCATTAGTTAATGAGCATTTTGGTTGTTTTTATTTTTTGGCTATTAAAAAATAATACTATTATCAACATTTATATGCATGCATGAACTGAACTGATGTGTGCTAAGTCATTTTGGTCATGTCTGACTCTGTGTGATGCTATGGACCGTAGCCTGCCAGGCTCCTCTCTGTCCATGAAATTCTCCAGGCTAGAATACTGGAATGGGTTGCCATGCTCTCCGCCAGGGGATCTTCCTGACCCAGGGATCGAACCTGCATCTCTTATGTCTCTTGCACTGGCGGGCAGCTTCTTTACCATTAGCACCACCTGGGAAGCCCCATCAACATGCATGCACAACTTTTCTCTTGGGTGGAGTGGCATTCCATCTAGGAGTGGAATTGCTGGGTCATATAGTAACTATATCTTTAACATTTTGAGGAACTGCCAGGCTGTTTTCCAAAGGTGCCACACTATTTTACCTTCCCACTAGAAGTATACGAGAGTCCCAGTTTTCCTACATCCTTGCCAACACCTTGTTTTCTTCCCATTTTATTGTGATATAATTGACATACAGCACATAAGTTTAAGGTATTATATCACAATATGATTATGACAGTAAGTTTAGTGAACATTCATAATTTTATATAGATACAAAATTAAAGAAATAGAAAAAATGTCTTGTGATGAGAACTCAGGATTTTCTCTCTTAACTTTTATATATAACATCCTACTATTCATTATATTTATCATGTACATTTAATCCCTATACATATAACTGGAAATCTGTACCTTTTGACTACCTTCACTGAATTCTCTCTTCCACAACCCCCTGCTTCTGAGTAACCACACATATGATCTCTTTTTCTATCAATTTATTATTGAAGTATAATTGATAATGCTATATTAGTTCCTGTTACACAATGTAGAGATTTGATGTTTCTATTCACTTCAAGATAGTCACTGTGATTATACTGTCAGCATACAAAGATATCACATAGCTATACTATACATTTTATACCCATGACTTATTTTGCAACTGGAAGTTTGTACCTCTTAATCTCCCTCACTGATTTCTTTCCTCCCTTACTCCCTCCTTTCTGGCAACCACTAGTTTTTCTCTGTAATTAGAATTGTTTCTATTTTGTTATGTCTGTTCATTGGTTCTGAAGTTTAGATTCCACATATAAGTGAAATCAGACAGTATTTGTCTGTCTCTGACTGATTTCATTTAGCACAACACCCTCTAGGTCCATCCATGCTGTCACAAAAAGCAAGATTTCATTCTTTTTTTATGGCTGAGTAATATCCATTATATAAAAATATATGCCACAACTTCTTTATCCACTCATCTATTGATGGGCATTTAGGTTGCTTCCTATCTTGGCTGCTGTAAATAATGCTGCAATGACAGAGAGGGACATATACCTTTTCTAATTAGTTTTCTTTGGATAAGTTTGTTTTCTTTGGATAAATACCCAGGAAAGGAGATGCTGGATTATGAGGTAGTTCTAGTTCTATTTTTCATTTTTTGAGTAATCTCTGTACTATTTTCCACAGTGGCTGTACCAATTTACATTCCCAGTTCACAAGGGTTTCCCCTTTCTCTACGTCCTTGCCAACACGGCTTATTTGTTATCTTTTTGATACTGGCCATTCTAACGTGTGAGGTGATATCTCATTGCAGTTTTGATTTGCATTTCCCTGATGATTACTAATGTTGAGCATCTTAAGTCTGTAGCCATCTGTATGTCTTTGTTGGAAAAATGTCTATTCAGATTTTCTGATCATTTTTAAATCAGTTTGTTTCTTTTTTATCTTTTGTTATGTAAGTCCTTTGTATACTATGGATATTAACCCCTTATTGGATATAAATTTGCAAATACCTTCTATTCAGTAGGTTGCCTTTTCATTTTGTTAATAGTTTCCTTTGCTATGCAAAAGCTTAGATGAAGTCCCATTTGGGTATTTTTGCTTTTATTTCCTTTGCCTGAGGAGACATATCCAAAGAAATATTACTAAGAGTGATGTCAGACAGCTTACTGTCTTTATTTTCTTCTAGAAGGTTTCTGGTTTTAGGTCTTATATATGTCTTTAACCCATTTTGAATTCATTTTTGTGTATCCTGTGAGAAAGTAATCCAGCTGTTTTTTTTTTTGCATGTAGCTGTCAAATTTCCCCAACATTATTTACTGAAGAGGCTGTCTTTCCCCTACTGTACTATTCTTGCTTCCTTTGTCCTAGATTAATTGCCTATAAAATGTGGGTTCATTTCTGGCCACTGTGTTCTATTCCTTGGTCTATTTGTCTGTTTCTATGCCAGCAGCATACTGTTTTGATGACTGTAGTTTTGTAGTAGAGTTTGAAATCAGAGCATGTGATACTGTCAGCTTTGTTCTTCTTTCTCAAGATTATTTTGGCTAGTCAGGGTCTATTATGCTTCCATACAAATTTTAGACTTATGTGAAGAGTACCACTGGTATTTTGATAGGGACTGGACTGAATCTGTATATTACTTTGGGAAGTATGGTCACTTTAGCAATATTAACTCTTCAAATCCACAGACACAGAGTATCTTTCCATCTGCTTATTTCATCTTTGATTTCTTTTATCACTGTTTATAGTTTTCTGAGTACAGGTCTTTTATGTCCTTAGATTTATTCTTGGGTATTTTATTCTTTTTGATAGGACTGTAAATGGGGCTGTTTTCTTTTTTTTTTCTCCAGCATCACAGCAGGGTTTAATGTTTCTTTGGGACCGTTTTCTTAATTTTTCTGACAGTTCATTGTTAATGTATACAAATGCAACAGATTTCTGTGCATTAATTCCATATGCTGCTACTTTACCAAATTCATTGATGAGTTCTAGTAGATTTATGGTGGTATCTAGGATTTTCTACATATAATATAATGTCATCTGCAAACCGTGAAAGTTTTACTTCTTCCTTTTCAACTTGTATTTCTTTTTTTTCTTTTTCTTGTCTGACTGCTATAGTTAGGACTTCCAATACTACACTGAATAAAAGTGGTGAGAGTAGTGGTGAGAGTAGGCATCTTTGTCCTATTCCTGATCTTTTAGCTTTTCATTAGTGAGTGTAACATTAGTTGTGGGCTTGTCATGTATGGCCTTTATTATGTTGAGGTATATATTCCCTCTATACCCACTTCATTGAGTTTTTAATCACAAGTAAATGTTGAATTTTGTCAAAATCTTTTCCTGCATCAATTGAAATTATCATATAATTTTCATTCAGTTCAGTTCAGTTGCTCAGCTATGTCCGACTCCTTGAGACCCCATGAACCGCAGCATGCCAGGCCTCCCTGTCTATCACCAACTCCTGGAGTTCACCCAAACCCATGTCCATTGAATCGGTGATGCCATCCAACCATCTCGTCCTCTGTCATCCCCTTCTCCTCCTGCCCTCAGTCTTTCCCAGCATCAGGGTCTTTTCAGATGAGTTGGCTTTTTGCACCAGGTGGCCAAAGTATTGAAGCTTCAGCTTCAGCATCAATCCTTTGCTGACAAAGTAATGTCTCTGCTTTTCAATATGCTGTCCAGGTTGGTCATAACTTTCCTTCCAAGGAGTAAGCATCTTTTAATTTCATGGCTGCAATCACCATCTGCAGTTTATTTTGGAGCCCAGAAAAGTAAAGTCTGTCACTGTTTTCGCATCTATTTGCCATGAAGTGATGGGACTGGATGCCATGATCTTAGTTTTCTGAATGTTGAGCCAACTTTTTCACTCTCCTCTTTCATCAAGAGCCTCTTTAGTTCTTCTTCACTTTCTGCCATAAGGGTGGTGTCATCTGCATATCTGAGGTTATTGATATTTCTCCTGGCAATCTTGATTCCAGCTTGTGCTTCATCCAGCCCAGTGTACTCTGCATATAAGTTAAATAAGCATGGTGACAATATACAGTTAATGTGATGTCCTGTGAATGCTGACCCATCTGTGCATCTCTGGGATTACCTGATCATGATATATGATCCTTTTAAGGTATTGTTGAATTTGATTCTCTAATATTGTATTTTGTAAGGATTTTTACATAGATGTTTGTCAAGGATTTTAGCCTATAATTTTCTTTTTATGGTGATATTTGGTTTTGGCACCAGGATGATACTGGTCTTATAAAATGAGTTCAGAAGCATTTCTTCTTCTGCAATTTTTTTTGAACAGTTTGAGAAGGATAGGTGTTAACTGTTCTCTAAATGGTAAGTCATCTGGTCATGGGCTTTTTTTTTGGTTGGGAGCTTTGGAATTATTGATTCAACTAATTTCATACTAGTAATTGGTCAGTTCATATTTTCTCTTTCTTCCTGATTCAGTCTTGGGAGGCTGTACATTTCTAGGAATTTTTCCATTTCTTCTAGGTTGTCCATTTTAT